TGTTGTATCCATATCTATCTATCTATCTATCTATCTATTGTAACATTTATAGATAGACATATGCAGTGTGGAGGAAACATGTGGGAGTGAGGAATAAGGTAGGTATTTCATCTTATTCCAATCCCCCCAGACAAAACAGTAGTTAATCCTTGCAATGCAGAGCTGGACCCCCTGCAAAAGCTTTTTCTCCAGCCTGAACTTCATTGACTTCTGTTTTTCGTGCACTTGAATTAAATTTGAAAAGAAAGTCATGATACATCTATCAATATAATCAACTGTTGCATGAAACATTTTCCATTATTTAAATAAACAATTATTGTTTTTTGTTGTTTTTTTAGAACCAAATTAATTCTGTGGATACTGGTGAGACTAATTTGGAAGGAGCAGTGGGTAAGTGCATCTCAGGGCAATCCAAAACATTAAAGAATCACTAGAACAAAGATTAATTGAGTTACCAAGAGTTCTGCAACACAACAATGGCTTTTTTTTTGTGACCAGGTCAAGCTGCATCAGATGAACTGATCAGGACAGCTCTATCAGCGTTTGAAGCTGTAACACAGCATCCAGTCTTGTTGACACATCACCACTCCCAAGTAAGTCTTGGCAGAACTTGAAACAATATTTTCCTACTAGTTGGAGCAATTCCCATAAGCCGTCCAAGCAATCAGTAGCTTCTAGGGTCATGACTGCAATTTAGACAGTGAAACACTTTAAAGCACTAGTCCCAATCAGGTTTCTTGTTTTTTTCGGTCTTATCTAAAATTGTATAGAAATATTTTATTCAATTCAAAGATAATTTCAATAAAAATTATCAAATTTAGATTTTTCCAAACATATGTAAGTGACATTTAATGTGATTTGGTTGCTGTGAGCATGACAAGGTAGTTATTACTTAAAAGTTGTATCACAATGATATTGTTAGAGCAATGCATCCATGGTTCATGCTGAAGGATGTTTTCCTTGACAATCAGGTATGTTAAATTAACAAGGAGAACTTGCAGAGTACAATAACCCATAACAACCAATCCAAACCCTGTGGCAAAATAAATTTTGTCCTGTTGCTATAGGTAAGAGGCCATAAAAGTACAGAATAATACCTGTTGATCTGCCAGAAAATCACTCATCTCTTAGCCCCCACTCACACCTAGGCATTTTGTTGTGCAACAAAAGTCTCAACACAAGAAATCCCATTAATTGCAATGGCCCCTGTTCATACCTGAGCATTGTGTTGCAAGCTGTAAAACACCTGTCACTGGAAAAAGTACATGGGCTTCTTTCGGGCAGTTAAACTACCTCCAGGCCGGCCGTAGTAAAAAAAACGGCTGGCCGGGAGCTCTCTAGATCTGAGCGGGCGTCTTTAGACGTCCACTCAGATACGCCTCCTCGCACGCGAGCCGGAAGTGGCCGAAAATTTCAAACAGACAAGCGATCCGCCGGCTGTACAGGGGCAACGGTCGGTGTGCCCCTCCGCTTCCCCCCACCCCCTCCCCGCCGTTGTCCCGCTGATCCCGGGCTCTGCTGTGCCTGGTGCGAGCCCGGGATCAGCATTGCGCCTGTGTGATAGGGGATCAGAGGGAGTTCGTTACACGAGCTCCCTCCGGTCCCCTCTCCTCTGAAAGAATGCGGAAGTGTTGTATATTACATCACTTCCGCATTCTTGTGTCACTTTCCAGTGGAAAGAAGCTTGGAGACCCCTCATGTCTCCATAAAGAGGACCTGTCACATATTTTGCTAACACATAGGGGGGGGGGGGTTCTATTAGCCCCGTATGTGATAGCAATAAAGTTTAGTGAAAAAAAAATTAAAGTCCCCCCCCAAAAAAATTTAAGTTACACATAAAAAAAGAATAACATTTTTAATTTTTTTTAAAAGTCCCCATCCATTCATACACGCATGCAAACATGCATACGTGCAAAAAAGACGATTGAGCCCATTACGCCGCACATGTTACATATCGCCGCGAACGTTGGAGTAAGAGCAATAATTCTAGGGCCATCACTGATAACACTAAACTGATGAGCGGTAAAAGCTTTTAAAGTATCACGTATGGCCAATTTTGGGTATGGTAGTTTTCTGCGATGTCGCGGGTGCGCGCAATTTTAAAGCTTGACATGTTTGGTGTCTATTTACCCGACGTCACCCCGACTTTTATATTTTACCAAAAAACTGGGTAATAATAAATGTTTCCTAACATAATGTAAAAAAATAACTTTTTTTCCTAAAATTTTCAGTAATTTTTCCTAATTAAATACCACCAAAAGAAAGCTCTATGTGTCCCCAAAAAATGGTATAAAATTCATTTCAGTACAGCGTTGCATGACGGAATAAACATCAGTCAAAGTACCGCAGCGCTGAATACTGAACAATGGCCTGGCCAGGAAGGGGGTCTAAACACCTGGTCTTGAAGTGGTTAAAGCATGTTTGGCCCCATAGACTTCAATACAAATTCCTAGAAATGTGCAACACAAGTTTTTTGTACTTTTTTGTGCACGTTTTTGCATGTTTTAGTGGTCCATTGACCGCAATGTCTTTCAATCTGCCAGGTAATACACACATCTTCATGTGCGTGCATCTAGCCGAAGCATCTAGCAGACTAGCCGAAATTGCGCACAAAAACACTGACGCCTAGGTGTAAATGCATGCTCAGGCCTTGTTTTGGGATGACAACAGGCAGCATTTTGTGAACTGAGTGGTGTCAGCCCTGCCTATGTCTTATGCAATGCTACTCAACTACTCCACTTTCAGAGCTGTACAACATAAAGGCTTGTTCACACCATGTTAATTTACAGTTTTCCCTGTTCTGGTTCCCTGTTCACACCATACCTGTGTGGAGGTGTGCAGCAGAAAAACACAGTTCAACAAAACATGGTGTGAACAAGCCAAAGGGCTAATCATTCTGTAGTTCAAGACAAAAACTAGCAGAGCCCTTGAAGATAATACAGTTAGTATGCAGTACATAGGATAGCTCTTAATTTCTGACAAGATCAACAGGGTTTTTTTTCACTTACATAGCAGATATAATAAAACACGATCAATGGCATATCTAACAGATCAAAACAAATAAGAGACATTTATGCTTGGGGTTTACTCTTAAAGCTGTTAATTGAATAAGCTATAGGTGACAGTCTCACAGAAAGGTATGGGAACATTCCCAAACACTCAGAGATATGCTCACCAAAATGTTGCTACAAGTGAGCAGTTTCAATTTTGTAGTAGTAAATCTCCAGTTTTCTTTTTTCATGTATTATGTATTTCTTTTTTAAAAAACTTCTAAAAATTGTGTATGATTCACCTTTTTATAGTATACTTAGTTCTATCAGGTCCCCCATCAGAAAAGTCCAAAAGCTCTATCCATATTTTAGTAGGACAGCACTATTTTATGGATGTTAAGAATTGCAGAATATTTCTACTTTTTGTGATGGTCACCTTCAGTTTTCTGATATTAACTGTCAGAAGCTCTAATCACACAGGAGATTAAAATCTGTGTATGCCTGAAATCCCCTTCAAGGAGAGCCAGGTGCTGAATTGCTGTTATGTGACACTGAATTATACAGTAATACAACACTGCAAACTGTAGTCTGAGATTTAGAGTTGATTAATATAGGCTGTAAGCACAAAATGTGTTCATTTTTTTTCTAAAAGTTCTCTAGTATGTTACTTTCACTTCAGTGCTAACAATATGTTTACCTGTGTATTTGCTGAATGTTTTTAACAAATACAGTGCAAAAAGATAAAAACAGGTGTTATTCGTTATGTGTCCTTCTAGAAGGCCCAGTAACATTAGTTTTTCTTATGTTAAATAGTGTTGGTCACACATTTTCTTATTAATCCTTGTGAAGAAAATTAGAGAATGCAATCGGACAAAAATGGCCAGCATATAGAACTAAAGATTGTTAAATCGGACAGAGGGCCTGCCTCCCTCAAAGAATAATGTAGGAAAACATCATTCATGACATCCCTGGAGGTTCTTCAACACAAAATAAACAGAAGGGGGGGCTTTTCCCTACTGTTTCCCCCACTTCCCTGTTTTTCTTTAAAGTATTTATACAATTAGGATATTTAAAGTGTATTTGCATGCTTGATTTTCAAATCAAGATTCCTATTTTTAATGAAATGTTGGTAATTTGTCTTACAAAAGACTAAAGGTTTTGACTGTACCGGCCGAAATTCACACATTGTGTGGGGCTGTTGACTCCCTTTCAGCCGGCATTTCTCGATCAGCTGATTGAAGGAGTCAGCTTTTTCGTATGATCGAAGCTGACAGCCAATGAGCTGCCCGCTTAACAAGCGTTTTTAGTGACCATTAATTTACAGACTTTGTTGTATCTTTGAAATGGGTACATCCAGTTTTTACTATCAAGTAGCTATCTATTGGCTGCACCCAGGATATCATCATAGGAAAATAACTAATGTCTGCGCAAGCATGGACAACAAAACACTTTAATTATCTTTAATATGCCTTGAATTACATGTGAATTGTTATTGTACTAATGAATAGGAATATTTCCACCAAGCCAAAAATCTGCTAGGCTTTTTTTTTTACTGCAGCCCAGGAGAGTGCAGAGAAAGGGGTAGGCTGGTGGAAATCTGTGTTGGTTAAGAATTAAGATGATGGACTTCAGTTGATAAAAGTCAAAATAATCAGAGGGAGGATGCAACCCTTGCCTTTTCAGAGAGAGGATGCCCACTTTTTCAAAAACATTTTGAAGAGATTGGAATGGAATTGTATGAAAGTTTTGGAAAGGGATTAATAAACAGTAGGGATGCACCGATACTTTTCAGATACCAGTGCCGATACTTGGCATTTTCATGAGAACTACCAGGGTTGCAGCTGGGACCTGGCTCTGGCTCTCCACCACTGTCCTGAAATCATTAGTCGATATTGTTTTAGAAAAACTGTCACATGACAATAAACAAAAATGTATCAGTAGTTGTACTTGTAAGTATTTGGGCAAGTATTAGTACTTGTACTTGCAAAAATGGTATCGGTGCATCCCGTTATTTATAAAAACAAAATCATACATTAAAACAGAGATGTACAAATCCCAGGAACTTTGTGTGCTCCTTACAAATGACAGCTGCCTCCTAACTTTTGAATTTTTCTCTAGTCTAGTCTTGGAGCTCAAAAGTATCTGTACTTGTACCGAGTACAGTATTGGTGCATCCCTATTAAACAGTTTAAATGCTGATATGAAGGTTCTTGATAATCCAGAAAATAAAAAGGCCCTCTCTATAAATGCACAGTTGAATTATCAATTGATTCTCTGGAATAAATCCAGAAGGTAACATTTGTGCAATGAAATGAAACAAGTGGCTGTGTATTTGTGAACAGTGTATAGTCCAGGCTTAGCCCATAATGGGTCATAAATTTTGAGGTGACATAGGCTTCTTTTTTACCCGATTTAGGGAGTGTTGATGTATGAACTTTTAGAAATTCCAGGGATTAGTCTCCTTCATTATAAAAACTTTTTACATAAGGAGAGATGGTAGATGCAAACTTTCATTAAAGCTGAAAACCTGTCCGATCCAGGTGCTTCCATAGATGTTGGTGCTTTTTATTGCAGATGCTACTTCCACCTTAGAAGTAGCAGGA